TAGTCCTCATATTCTGTGTGACAAGCAAGAATATCCAAAAGATGAAACAGAACTCTGATGATTTTCTTGCAGTTCAAGTCTCCATTCCTAATAATCTCCAGAAAACTGTCCTGTGTATCTGAGAGGAGAAGCATAAATCTGAGAAGAGATCTTTAAACCACTTCTAATAAGAAAATATCATAAGTCAAAAAATTAATGCAGTAGAAAAAAAAATCACAATGAAAATATTTAGAAATAAAAACCAAAAAGTGTCCAGGCAGTCTTGACAATAAGAATTTATAAGGGGAATTAGAAAGATTTTCTTAACAGTCATGCTTGTATATCTTCTAAGTATGTAATTGCCTCTCTGCAAGTAAACCAAACTTAGGTAAAGTAATCCTAAATGCAGGTTGTTCTGTTTTTACTAGTACCCAACTAGCATTTTACGAACGGTGGTGTATTTCCAAAAGTGGTCAGTACAGCTCAGCAGTCTCTATCAGTGTCCCAGCTCTTCAATGTCATCATAGCCTGTATCTTCAAGATGAGGGGATGAATGTCTCTCAGCCTCAGAGGTCCTGTTTCCTGACACTTTAGGACTCCAGTCTGAAAACATGAAGGGAAGAACACAGAGATAAATGCACATCGTGTAGCATGGTTGTGCAGCTGGCAGCATAGACTGTCAGTTGTCTCCTCCAGCAATTAGAACCTTAGGTATGCGTGGCTATGAACAAGCTGAGAAATGCTTGTCTCATCCTGCCTCCTGCTACATGTACACGTAGCTGAGGATCAAGCTTGCTGTTCCCAGAAAACAGGTTGCTGATCTAACTTTAAACACTTCTAATAAAGGCAATTCTTCAAAATCCCTAAATAACCCAACTCTATTTTACTGCCTTAGTAGATCTGTCCTTGTTCATCCCACAGATGTGCCCTGACCTGGCTCCTCCCAGGGCTATCACAGGAGAGTGCTCACCCCATTATCTGTGTTTGAAACCCATTAAGAGGATGTTAACCCATGACTGCGGAGGGTTGTTGCCCACACAGGTATAAGACTTACTGTGAGATACAGGGGAAGAGCATCTTGGGATTATAGACAACTTAACCATGGGCTGCTTAGGGGAGGAAACAAAAGCACAGAGAAAGAGGGATCAATGCAGTTTTGGGAGGAACAAACATGAGAAAATAGAACGATAAGAGGATAGAGGGACTGGTGGCATAGAAACAGGCTGCTAGCCAGTATGCATGTTTGGCCATGCCCTGCATCTGATCAGCGGCGTCTGTCCTGTCTTCTTCTTAAACTCCATTTCTAACTGTTTTCCTGGCTAAGGGGGCTTTCTGTTTATATGTATATGATACATATATATGATACATACATATATGATACATATGATACATATATTCTGTGTATATGGAGGTCTAAGTGCCAGCAACCAGAGCTGGACCATGAGTCAGAGGGATCTGCACGTCTGTGATGGCAGCAACTGGAGAGGCTGGTGTGGACAGAACTCTTAAGTGCCACCAGCTGGGGTGGGACTCTGGGTCTCAGGGGCTCACGTGCCCAGACACCAGCCGTGGTGGGAGGTCAGGAGATCCAGGGGCTGGTGACTTGGTAGACTGCGTGTCTAAGCCCAGTTACTGGGGGATGCGCCCTGCGTGTGTGTGGGTGTTAGTGTGCATGTGAGTGTATAAGTAACTGGAAAGGCAGGGGTTTTCAGGACCAGTTACTGGAGTGTCTAGGGACAGCTACTGGAGGGATCCATACTGTGTGTGTACATATACATTTTCCACCGATAAGCTTTCATCCTGGTCAGCCAGAGGGGAACAGGATGAGGCCATTGGTGCTGCCTGTGTTTGAGTGCTATATTTTCTGTCTGTGTTGTCTCTACAAGCCAGCCTTGTGTATCTGCATATCTGTATTATATGTGTGTGCATGCGTGTGCATGCCTACACATGCTCAGCCTCACTACTGGCTGGACCTAGGGACATGGAACCTCCATCAGACTACCAGATTTAGCAACCCCTGGTATCTTCTGATATTTAGAAGACCAACAGCAGATGAGAGAGATGAATATACCTTAACTATATGCAGTTTTTGCAAACAGCAAAGTTTGTCAGCATAACAGAGCAGCTTTGTATGAAGTCAACAGCAAGTGAGGTTCACAAAGACACAAATTCGTTTAAGTAAGTAAGGCAAAAATGTATACTACTTTATACGTAAAGTTAAAATGAATACAAACATGGCTGGTAAAAAAATCCCAAACTCTAATGTTTCTTTAATCACTTTGAGACCTAAAATATTTCGATTATTTTTTCATATCTTCAGTCTGTCAAATATATTTATCACTACCCCAAAGGGTGGAGTTTATCTGCTGATCAGAAGGTGCTCCACAGTTATATTAAGTGCTCAGAGAAAGAAAAGTCTATCTTAAATATTTTTTTGTTAATTCTTTCTGAATTAGATGGGTCTGACAAAATTTAGTGCCTGAATAAAAACCTAGCTGAATCCAGCCTCCAAGCACTATCCACTGTCTTTAAGACCTCACAGAGAACAGGCTCTGAAGGACTGGGAAAACATGAACAACTTGTTTTTAAGGTGGTGTGTGTGGGAGAAGAAACAAGATCAGGAGTTACAGAAAGTTCAACTTCATAAAGATAGGAGAACAAATAAACTACTTGTAAGGAGACAGAAGAAAAAAAGCAGTTAGATAACAGGTAACATGGATTTATCAAAAATAAATCACACCAGATAAATCTGATTTTTCTTTTTGATTATCTAAGAGTGCTTTTATAAGGGAGTAGAACAAATCGTCACTCAACTCACATGATATTTTTATAAGTAAACTAGAGAAATATGGTCTAACTCAAACCTCTGTAGACTGGGTACAAATCAGTCAAAAATGGTATTTTTAGTGCAGCTCACTGTACCAGGTCAGATTCTTTGACAACCCTAAACACAACTAAGTATTTTTATTAAATCCTAAGATAAAAGACACATGTTTTTACTACATTTTCCAGATGATACCGTACTGTACTATAATTCAAATGATCCTGGCAAAGTTTTGATGAGCATAGAATGAAATCTACTAAGGACAACAACAAGACTACAGATGAAGGGAGAATCAGTCAACCGCATAATTAGAAAGAACAGTGTCTAATGGTATGTAGTATTTTACAGAGCAGGATTTGAAGTTGTGTCAGGCCAGACATTAAACACTGTCAGGAGTGTCATGCTGTTGCAAAAAAGGGAAACATCACACGCACGCATAAACAGAAGGATACACTGAAAGACATGAGAAGTGGTCCTTCTGCTCTACCTGACACTGGTAAGGTCTTAGCCCCATGCTGTACAGAAATACTGTAAAATTTTGGTTTCAAAACACTTTTTGAAATATATGGACCTACTGACACAGCCTGAGTGGAGACATGCAGAATGGGCAGAGGTCTAGTCAACAAGACCTAAGTAGAAAATGGACTAATTTAGATTGGGGTGGTCCAGAGAAACGAAATACGGAACAAAACAGAGGGGAGATACGTTAACAGTCTTCAAGTACTTAAAAGGCTATTACCAAGATAATAACTATTACCAAGATAATAGTAACTCCTCTGTCCCCACGGTCGTCGTAATAAGAAGTAACAATTTTAATTTGCAGCAGTGAAGACCTAGGTTAGGCCAAAGGCAAGAATTTTATAGCTGTAAGGAAAGCACAGCATGGGTATAGTTTACCTGCAGTGGTTATGGAAACGCTGCTACTGAATGGCTGTAAGAACAGAATAACAAACGTCTAACCTACGCTCTTCACGTAGGTAGGTAGTGTTCCTTCGTGACAGTGGTAAGATAAAACCTAGGTGATCCCTTGAGGTGCCCTCCACCTGGATTTTCCCTGAGTTCAGTACAGTAACTATAGATTACGAAAACTAACAGCACTGCTCTTCTGGCCTCACCTGTCTGTGAATCCTTGTTTCTGTCACTTTCTTCAGGGATCCCAAGGATTTCCTGCTCATTCTGCTCAGAAGGAGAAGCATCTTTAGGTCCAGGAGCTTCTGTCACGTCATCATAACCGTCTTCCAGGGTATTTCCAGGCAGTGGAGAGACCTCTGGAACAGTACAGTTATTAACTATGACAGGGAGAGATCTTCCACTAGAGAAAGCAGTAGCTGATGATCCAGTGATAAAGGCCTGTAGTACTGATATTACCATGATGATAATGAACAATAATAAACTGAGAATCCTCCAGAGGACTCTGAGGTATTCCAGACAGCAATAATATAGCTCCAATAATTGTTATATATTACTGTAACAAATAGAAAGTGAAAACCAATATGGAGGAGGGACAGGAGGGGGAAGAAGATCTGGAGAAGGAGACAGTGACAGGGTTTATTTCAGAGTAAGATTCCCCATTTCATTTTATAATTGCACAATGAAAAATTACTTCTTGTTTATCTCTGTGTAGCACCTGCTCCCTTGTCTTTTCATTGCTTTAACCACCTTCTGTTAAATTTCTCTGAAAAGATCTAGCTAAGTAGCCATCCTTGGCTGTTTGCCTGTGGACATGTGGCTACAAACTTAGGTGAAACCTATGGAGAAAAATATCTGCAGTTCTGCTTCTCTTCTCCAGGCTGAACAACCCCAGCTCTCTCAGCCTCTCAGCGTAAGAGAAGTGCTCCATCCCACTGATCATCTTTGTGGCCTCCTCTGGACTCGCTCCAACAGGTCCATGTCCTTCTTGTGCTGAGGACCCCAGAGCTGAAGGCAGTACTGCAGGGGGGTCTCACCAGAGCGGAGCAGAGGGGCAGAATCCCCTCCCTCGACCTGCTGGTCACGCTGCTTTGGATGCAGCCCAGGACATGGTTGGCTTTCTGGGCTGCCAGTGCACATTGGTAGGTCATGTCCAGTTTGTCACCCACCAGTATCCCCAGGTCCTTCTCCGCAGGTCCGCTCTCAATCCGTTCATCCCCCAGTCTGTACTGATCCTGGGGATTGCCCCAAGCCAGGCGCAGGGCCCTGCACTTGGCCTTGTTGGACTTCATGAGGCCCATTTCTCAAACCTCTCAAGGTCCCTCTGGATGTCACCCCTTCTCTCAAGCGTATCAACTGCACCGCTCAGCTTGGTGTCATCTGCAGACTTGCTGAGGGTGCACTCGATCCCTGTGTCTGTGTCGTTATAAGGATATTGAACAGTGCTGGTCCCAGTACGGACCCCTGAGGGACACCACTTGTTACTGCTCTCCATTTGGACACTGAGCCGTTGACTGCAACTCTTTGGATGCGGCCATCCAGCCAGGTCCTTATCCATGGTAGTCCATCCATCAAACTGAGTTCTGTGCAGAGCTGGCTCTGATTCCTCAGGGGCAGCTGGCTCTGTGGTCTATACTGAACTGGAATCCATCCCTCAGAGAATATTAGTTTTCACTGTTTTATGGTATATACATATGCACATGGACATACAAATAATACATATATAAAATTAAAAGTCAGTTGAATCACTCCTATTTCACTTTTTACCTAGTACTCAATATTCAATCTGTATAAGAAAAGGAGATCTTATTTGGAATAATTATCTTGATAAGCATTTCAAAGCAAGTAAGGAAAAGAAAAGCTTTTAATTTAATTTTAAATAATAAAAAAATCTTAATATAAGAAAAACAATAGAAAATAAAATTGAAGGCATGGTACAGGAGAGAGTCTGGGGTATGGGCAGCTGAGGTCCAAAGCTGCTTGTGCCTTTGGCGGTTGATCTCTCGGAGACCAGGCAATAGCTAGGAGAGCTTTTTGGTCAGCTCTAAGGAAATGCAGTTATTCTCCAAACACATGCTGTCCCTCAGCTTTTTCAGATTAAAACACATTTGCCACATATGGCAAACTGCATTTTCTTCAGATCACTGGGATTAAAGTTCCCTAATCGACTCCAGTTGATTAGCCAGTGTTCTTATTTGGAGCATGTTTTTCCTCTGTCTTAATTCTCCCCATTTATCAGAAACAACAGCTTACAAGCTGTTACAGTTGCAATTTCTGGGAGAAGCAGTTGTCAAATTTTTGGATTCATGTGACTGGATCCTATGAAGAGTGCAATACTACCAGCAAACATTTATTTTCAAGGACTAGCACTTGCATACAAGATTGTATGACATTCTTCCACCACGACAGTTAAACAGAAATTTTTGGTTCACATCCAGACATTGCTAGTAGACATGAAGTGCAGCAAGAAAAAAGTTTTCATCACCAATAATGCTTTGGAAATTAAAAGCTACCCTGATTTTGGGTCTCTTTCTTTGTAGGATCCCCATCTTCCATTACCTTGAGTTGCTCCTGGAGCATTTTCTTCATCACTGTCCCCGCTATAAAACTGTGCCTTTGTTTTTGAATTTTCTGAATAAGAATCTAGGCAAATGAGAAAGAGTATGTTATCAGATTAAACTCCCCTTAGTTGCTAAGACTGCATCATGAGGAAAAGAGTAGGCTACAGTAATACCATCCAAGTCCCACAGATTCTTGGGCAGTCAGTATTACCCCTGCAAGGTAAAGGCCTTACAGTGAGATAGCCCAGAATCCCTCACGGGCCCCGTAACACCTCTCGTGGCTCATGGGGGAGGCAAGCCACGAAGGGAGAAAAGTAATCGATGGGAGGAAGCCTACAGAGACACATAGCTGCTGGGAGGGAGACACAAATTATTCCTTTATTTGTTCCTGCTTTCAATAATTGCAGCAAGAGCCTTGTTTGTTTGTTTATTTGTGGTTTGTTTGTTTGTTTGACCTGTACTGATCTATGCTTCTCCTTTAGGACAAGAGGGAACGGTCTCAAGTTGCGCCAGGGGAGGTTCAGGCTGGACATTAGAAAGAACTTCTTCACTGTCAGAGTCGTTAAGCATTGGAACGGGCTCCCCAGGGAGGTGGTGGAGTCCCCATGCCTGGAGGTGTTCAAAAAATGCTTAGATGTGGCGCTTCAAGACATGGTTTAGTGGGTTTAGCGGGCATCATGGCATCGGGTATACGGTTGGACTTGATGATCTTTGAGGTCTCTTCCAACCATAATGATTCTATGATTCTATGATTCTGTGCTCTATGGCTGCAGTGAGGACAGCACAAAATGAATTGTGCCTAGGAGAGGAATTGGCAGAGTCCAGTGGGCAGGAAACCCCTCTCCTCAAATCTAGGAGTTTTCAGTTTCCCAGTAGATTTGGGAGCTGCAAAGTATCAGATTGGGATCTGGGCCCCCAGGAGGTATTTTTTCTTGACAAGAGCAAGACGTTCAAGAGCAAGAGATGTTCAAAAAACGTTTAGATGTGGCACTTCAAGGCATGGTTTAGTGGACAGGGTGGCATCAGGTATACGGTTGGACTTGATGATCTTTGAGGTCTCTTCCAACCATAATGATTCTATGATTCTATGATTCTAAGACACACAGACCTGAGAAGCCAGTCATGCCCTGCTTTTCCCTCATCAGGTTATAGTCAATCTCTTCATAGACAACCTCAGAGAAGGGGTCATAGGATAGTCTGGAGCCTGAAAATAAAAGGCAATGATCACTCACACAGTCTCTGCATATACTCAGGCCGGGGTCATGAAAAGAAGTGACCTCAAGGGGTCTACATGGCCTGATTGGTACCCAGAAAGTCACCAAGAGGTGCTGCCTGAGGTTGAGCACTGCTGGGCTCTTTCACTGCCAGATGGTAAGTGAAAATCTCAGTGTGGTGGCAGAGGCAGATCCCATTCATCTCAGTCACCCATCTCCCCAGCCAACTAAAGACCCGCCAGCCACGTCACGGAGGTATTTCATACCAGTCCTGAGGGACCCACCTCTCTGCTGTGCCCTCGCACTTCGGATCTGTCCAGCAAGAATGGCAAGGACCAGGCAGAGAAGGGCCCCCAGGATAATGCAGAGGATGACAGGCATTGACATTCTTGTACTGGCTGTTGCAGGGCGGCGGGGAGGATCTGAATGGAGATGTAGAAGCAACAAGTAGAAAATCAGATAACCCTAAGGGCTTCTCCTCTACAGCCTCCTGCTGTGCCCACGCTAGCAGGGTGAGGCAGGTCACCTGCTGCCCAGTTGTGGGTCCTGCTCAAGCAGCTAGAATTCAGCAGCTGGGGATAGTGCCACTCGGCTCTCCTTTACAAAAGGCTGCGGGAGGTGCTTTCTGATGAGCTGGAATATACTGCTGATTTACCTGCTATGCAGTATGAGGAACACTAAATCCTCATGTGATGGGACAAAGAAAGAGAGGGAAAAGAAGGAATGTTTTACCTGCTCTAGTGGGTGACGCTGTTGTTTCTGTCATACCTGTAAAAGGAAGGCGAGTGCAGATTAAGGAAGAGGCAAGTGTGAAAAATAGGGAGAACATCTTCATGTCATTTGTGAGGTTCCCGCAGTCAAAATTATGAAGGGGCTAGTCACTGGGATATACAGCTGACATAATGTTTCTCTATCCACCTCCTTCCCAGATCTGTGTAGTGAACCAAAGGACCAGTCACTAACCGGAGCAATCCACAGCAGCATCTTCCTTATGATCACAGTTTTTGCCAAACAAGGGCTTGGCAGGACAGTCCCAAAGAGACAGCTCTGTTCCTTTACAATGCACCTTCTCCAACCAGATGGGACCAGTCCCTTCCCCAAAGGCAGCTTCACTCAGCGCAGACGCAGCAGATCCACAACCCAGCTGCCTGCATACAACATTAGCATCTGCCATGTCCCAGGAATCATCACAGATTGTTCCCCAAGAACCTTGCTGCCAAATCTCCACTCTGCCTGAACATCCATCCTCTCCTCCTATGACTCGTAACTTCTCCCTGTCTGTAAAACACAGAAAGCTTCTGTATTGCTGAAACAGCAGGAGGGTCCATAGGGACCAATAGAGACAAAGAGGTAGAGGTACCTGAACAGCTTGTGGAGTTTGGACACTCAGCAAATGTGGCTGGAGACGTTGCCTCTTTTCTTCCTGCAGAATTTAAATACTGAAGTAAATAATTTCATTATTCTCTGAAAAGAACAAGGGAGTATAATGCCTGAAAATTAATCATCAAGTTAATTTTTCCCTGTAATATATATACGGCCTATTTAGTACTTGGTGGATCACTGTTTGGCTATTTAGGAGATCTGAATGTCATCTAGAAATCATTTATCTTAGAGTGCATAGGTATGAAATACTGTCATAAAAGCAGGCATTAGAAATAGACCTTTGGAACTGAACTAATTCATACCTTGTCCCTGGCTATGTGTGTGCACGTGTGTACATGTACATATGCACTGATATGCCTCCATACATGTAGAAACACATACATGCCTCTAGACTTCTTGAGAGGTCTGATCCTAACTCAGATCTCACAGACTGACTGTGTAGCATAGATTTTTGCTTTAAAAATATGCAATGGCACCATCCTATCAGAGACTTCCTTGGGATTTCCACTGGGTAACTGCACTCAGTGACACTCATGTGATTTTAATTCACTCATTTACGTCAAGGATATAGACAAAGAAAAATGCTTGTGCCACTTGCATGAAACTAGAAATAATATATACCAGATAACAAATGAACATGAGGTAATTATTACAATGTCTGCATATGAGTGCATAGGTTTACGTATATGTCTGGGCAGTCCTCTACAGATGCATTTCTAATTACCAGTGCAGGAAATGTGCGTCTCTTCTGCTCGGTTATCGCATGACTGAGGATCCCAGGGGTCTGACTGACATTGCCAGAGAGAGCTATGTTGCTCAGTACAGTCAACGTGGTCCAGCCATGTGGGCCCAGAACCTCTGCCATATGTGAAGTCTCTTGCGATTTCCCCGCCATCTCCGCAGTTCAGGTGTTTGCATACGGTTGTTGCGGTGACTTGAGACATACGATTGGAGCAGATGCTCCCCCACGTCCCATTGTAGAAAACTTCTAGCCGCCCAGCACACTCATTGCCATTCACCAGCCTCAGAGCCAGGAACTCTAGAAGTGAAGACGTAAAACTGGAATTAGAAAGGCGTGATTCTGCTAGGATCTTGGCTGTGATGAGTGAAATCCAGAATCCGCTGACAATCCTGTTCATCACTCTGAATCAGGAAGTGCCAGAGGAAACTGCTCTAAAAGTGACAAACACTTAAAACCAAAAGTCATACAGTGATCCTCTCTGGTTAGCCAGCATTCACCCTCATCTACATCAACAAACAACAGTGATGTCCACATCAACCCATAGACTCAGAAAAGGTTTTTCTGAACACACCTGAGCACAGAACTCCAGCGTCCTCTTTGTGTTGGCAGTTGTGCTGGCCCCATGCCCTAGAGGGACATGTCCAGAGATCAGATTCAGCCCCAGTGCAATTCACATCATCCAGCCAGATCTGTCCCGAGCCTTCACCATAATGAGCAGCGACAAATGCCATGATGGCATGTCCACATCCCAGCTGTTTGCAAACAACATTAGCATCTGATAGATCCCAGTTATCATCACAGACGGTGCCCCAGATGCCATCGTGATAAAGTTCTACTCTCCCAGCACAGCGCTCTGTTCCATTCACCAGCCTGATCTGTCTGCTACCTGCAGGAAGAAAACCCAGCCACCAGCATGCAATAGAATGATAATGCACAGGTCAGTGTCATGGCTGTGTGTTTAAAAGCACTTTTAAGGCATCATGTTCTTCTTATATTCCAGTTCTTCTGTTATGGTTTCTTGGGCCAGAGCTCCTGTGATGCTAAAACTATGTAAAGGGAAGGGCCTACTCCTGCATCAGGTAAATGTTTGAGTAATTCCTGTGAGATGTTGCAAACAAGAAGGAGTGCCTATCCATACTAAGTATATATATGCAGAGAGCACCTTATCTTAGAAGGCCGGAGAAACTGTTTGCTATCTAAACTCATTTAGTTAGACAGAGATAGAGACAGTTTCTGTTACCGATGGGTTACAAAATAACAGTAGAGACAGTTCTAACTTACTTTAGAAAGGCTGCAGGTATGTATAAATATAGAAATGTCACAAAATAAAACCTATTTAACTCCCAAGAGACAGTCAGAATGTGTGACAGTCATGGCCAAATTAGTGTTCTTATGGCTTCTGTCTTCTACTATTTCTTTTTGGTTCTGAGAGATAAATTCTGTAAGAAATTCAGATGAAGAAAGCATTATGTATATTACACTTGCTTCCTTAACCATCAGTTGTCCCTTGGAGTATACCAGCAGGTGGGTACCACAAGCTCAGACCCATGCCTATTTAAGATCTGGTGAGACCACAGCTAGATGATAACAAACTATCTGTATAGAAAACTGTGTTCTACCTTGCTTTGTGTCTTGGTCAAGATGACTTTGATTAACAATAAGGGATTCATGAAGGGAGTTAGGGTATGTAAAGCCCTGGAAATTGATGAAGAACACCTGGAACTGATTGTGTGAAGCTACTGAGCATAGATGAGTTATGTGACAACCTGGCAAAGCGACCATTCCATTAACTAACTTGGCAATGAAATTAGTTTTTAAGGTGTCCTGTAGGAACCTGCCTTCATTATAATCCTAAAAATCGCACCCACAGGTCAAGAAGACCCTTGCCCAGGTGAAGACCCTTCCCCTGGGCATGTGCAGTTGTAGAAATGACTATGTAATCACGTGTAAATCACTAACCAATCAGTAGTTGTTAGGTGTGCATGGAAAAATACTGATCCCTGATTTTTGTGTATAAAAGGGACACTGGAACTTGCTGTTGATGTGCTTGATTTGTGGAAAAGTCCACCGAGCACCCAGGCCTGTGTAAATACAGTATCTCTCCTGAGCGTGTAGGATTGTCTTATTGCATACCAGGCGCGAATCCGCTTTTCGGACAACACAGAGGCAACACTAGGAGGCATTCTGTACCTTTCGGACAGTAACTCACCCGAGCAAATCACACCAACATCTTCAGCAACTCCCGTTGGCACTGTCTGAGTATGGGAGGTCTTACAGAGCATCAGCTGAGTCTCATTTCCAGCACACTGGACACTTCTTAAGCCAACAAGACCCACGCCTCGCTCAGACCTTAGAAGGTAGTAGGCTTTCTTGGCAATTCCGCACTGGAGCTGTCTGCATACCACATGAGCGTCCTTAATGTCCCAGTCATCATCCAGGACTCTGCTCCACATGCCGTGGAGTGAGATCTCAACTCGCCCATCACAGCGGCTCTCACCACCTGACAGTCTGAGTGATTCAGCAAGACCTGGGCTCAAGAGAGTTGGAAAATGTATTGAATAATAATCTACTGCTCTTACTGCAGTAGAAGTAACATGCAGGAGAGAGATGGATGACAAATTTCTATGTTGGTAAAAAAATAATTCTCAGCACTAGTTAAGGAGACAGTCTCTGTTAAGGCTTTGCTTGCTTTCACGCAGATAAGCATCTGCAATGAGAAGTGAGAAAGGCTTCCCCAGCTCAAAGACTAGATCCTGTGAGGAGTCAGGCACGTTGTTTCTATGCTGAAACGAAAGTTGGAGAGGAAAGGGAAAGGGAAAGGGGAAGGGAAGAAGGAGAGGGGAAGGGAGGGGAGGGGACGAGAGGACAAGGCCATTAAAGACAGACTGACAAACCAGACTTGCTTGGCAGAGTGCGATCACCAATGCTGCTTTGGTCTGAAGTTGCAGTACCCATGAAAGGCCACTCCTGACTTACCCGAGCAAATAACAGTGGCTGCTTCTCTGGCTGAACACGTTGGATTGCCCAAAGTCACTTGATCACAATCCCACAGGCAGGACTCCGTCCCTTCACAGTGAAAAGCATCTCTCCATACAGGTCCATTCCCATCCACAAAACGGTCTCCTGTCTGGATTGACTGTGCATAGCCACAGTTCAGCTGATGACACAGAACGCTGGCAGCTTGCAAATTCCAGTGGGAGCGGCAGAGTCTTCCCCACGTGTCTCCGTGGCGGATTTCCACTCTACCAGAGCATGTGGTGCCATTCACCAACCTGCCCCCTGGGCACCCTGAATATAAGAGAAAGTGGGTACTGAGATGTCGTGTTCGTAACTGCTCGTCGGCATGACCTGAAAGAGACTGGGAAATGGGAATGAGTTTTCCTTAGCGTTCAGTAGTAAAAATGACTGGGCCACTGGAACTTCTGTACTCATAACTAGACTTCAGTCCACCCTATTTTACTGAGAAGAATGAATAGAAATCAGGATCTGGTCCCCTTTGCAATTTTTAAACTCAGGGCACTAGGTTTCAGGGCTCTAGGTGAGCCAACAGACCTTAACTGTTCTCACCAGCCTCACCTAGAGCCTCCAGCTATGCACCCTCAGTGTGATGGTCCAAGGCCTCACTTAAACCTGGACCAGGGACTGCTGTAACTGCCTCCAGCCTTGTCTCCTGCTACTCCTGACTGTACTCTCCAGCTGGATCCTCCATCTGATGGATTATTTTGCCTTGTCTGGGACTGTCCATAGACCTTGTCATCAGTACCGTCCTCTGTCCTCTGTGCAGATGCTTTGGATTGTGTCTTGGTGAACAAGGACACTGCCTGTGTTGTCCTCAGCCTCTGCCCCCAGCTCACCCTGCCTTGTGGAGCAGCCCTGTCCGTGCTATTCCCTGGCACTAGGAGCATTTCAGAGAGAGCAGCCTTGTGGTGCAGCCTCAACTCCTGGGAATGCCTGTAGCAGCAAACAAAAGACAAAGCTTGGCTCCACAGACACCCTCTGGATTTTGGGTCTGTATTTTTCCTCAAAGAAGGAATTTTTCATTTCTCCTCTTAGACCTTTCCACAGCTCACCTGAACATACCACACGAGCGTCTTTTCCAGCGGGGCATTCATCATGACCTAGCACGCTCACAGAACAGTGTCTCAGGCTCGAACCATTCTTCTTGCAGCTGAATGTGCCGTTCCAGACAGATCCATTTCCCTTCCCGAAGGACTGTCCATCTGGTATCAGCAGGGCAACTCCACAGTCCAGCTGCTGGCAGAGGGCATTGGCAGCTGGTAAATCCCACAAGTAGTCACACAGGGTTCCCCACGTGCCTCCATGAAGAAGCTCTACTCTCCCTGAACATGTGGTACTGCCGTTTGCCAGCCTGTACCCGCCATAGCCTGCAGAAAGAATAAAGGAACTTAGCAGTTACATATTTTTTTTTGGTGCTATTGCATCGAAAATTGTAAGAAATCTGGCTGCAAGGAACTAACTGCAAGGAACTATGTCTCAGGGTACTGGGAAGCATGTCAGTCTTTGTTGTCCATGTCGTAGCCTGCACTACGTGACTAAAACTCAGAGTAGGAGCTACCAGTAGCACTCTTTCTCCCAGTAGCTGGTCATCTCACGTTGCCTGGTAAGCAGCAACTGCAATGTGCAATTCTCAGCTTTCATCCATGCCGCAGCATAAGGCTCTGAACACAACAGGCCATGCCCGTCAGCGTATTTGTGATAATTTAAGTGCGGCATGGGTAGGACTATGGTGTCCTACTGCCAGGCCCATGCAGTCCCTTTGTCTTCTCATGCTGGTACTTCTTACCCTTGCCTGGTCCTTGCATCGTACTCCCCCTAATGAGACCTGGATTTCTGCTCTCAGCTGTGACTCTTGGAAGATGGAGGCAGGAGCCAAGACCTGTCGGTTACTGAGACCTTAACCGGGCTGTTGCGCTGCCACAGCTCCCCAGCCAGCGCTCCAGATCACCATGGCCAGTGGGACAGTGTCCGAGGTAGTCTTAAAACAGACTGCAGCACTTCAAGTGGGAAACGGACATGAACTGCGTTCCTTTCCAGGCTTGTTTTGTGACAAGGTGTTGCCAGCAGTTCTGCCTCATGTTCAGTTTACCCCTTTTGATTTGTGCCCTCAGGAAAAAAGTTGTGTTTGCTAGGTCTAATCATCACTTTTGTAGTGGGTGGCAATAAGTTAGCTGTATGTAGAGCCCCCAGCAGCCATGAGTGCATGGAGTTCTTAAATAATGTTACCTGGCAGCCACAACTAAAGTCATCCAGACCTATGACTACTTTTTCTTTTCTTTTTTCTTTTCTTTTCTTTTCTTTTCTTTTCTTTTCTTTTCTTTTCTTTTCTTTTCTTTTCTTTTCTTTTCTTTTCTTTTCTTTTCTTTTCTTTTCTTTTCTTTTCTTTTCTTTTCTTTTCTTTTCTTTTCTTTTCTTTTCTTTTCTTTTCTTTTCTTTTCTTAAAATAATGTTACCTGGCAGCCACAACTAAAGTCATCCAGACCTATGACTACTTTTTCTTTTCTTTTTTCTTTTCTTTTCTTTTCTTTTCTTTTCTTTTCTTTTCTTTTTCTTTTTCTTTTTCTTTTCTTTTTAAATAACTTAAATTTGTAACTTGTGCCTCCTTTGGCCTTTTGGAGGTGCCAGGAATTAACATACACCCTGGCAGCACAGAAAAGAAATTAATTTCTCAATGTTCCTGCTTGTCTGCTCTGGCCATCTCTCCTTTTATGTATATGAGAAAGACATGGAAGGAATTCTCAGCACTATTGAGTGCAGACCTCTAGTAGCATAAAAGAAATTACAAAAGAAATGTTGAGATCTGCATCCTTGGTGCAGAAGTGAAGTGGTTAGAACAGGCCACGTTAAATGCAGACTCTCAGCAGAGTGAATGAGAGGTTGTGGGGTTGCTCTCTGTTGCTCCCTGGCCTTCCCTGGATGACTCAAGGTGTGACAGGGAAGCACCCAAGAACCCTGAGGACCACAGAAATACACAGAGGTTCTGAACTGTGGGTTGACAGGAAGAAGGCATATAGGACACATGTAAATTACGTCCATCAAAGTCTCACCTGAACATACAACAGTGGCATCGTGAGAGCATGTCTCACTATGCTGCAGCATCCTGCGACAGTGTGCAAGGTGAGTCTCATTCCCTAAGCACTGAAATTTTTCTTGCCAGATCAGTTCATGTCTGTCTCCAGAGTGAGTTTCTCCCAAGATGCGCACAGCCTGGCCGCACTCTAACTCATTACATATAACAGAGGCAGTTTTGAAATCAATGTGTGAAAAACAGACCATAGCCCAAGTTTCTTCTTGCTTTACTTTCAGGTGTCCTGAGCAGGCAGTGTCCCCTCCAGTCAGACGCAGCCCAGAGAAACCTGGAAAAAAACCCCAAGAAATCCTGCATCAAGGGTTGGTTGTACTAACCTCATTTAGTAACTCCCACACCTTCGTGGGCAAGACACATGTCACTTCTCTCAGGACCACTGACACTTTTAAATAACCGTTGTGGCAATTCCTGTATGCCACTAACGAGAGAGAAAATGGTATGTGGGAATGTTTATTTCTTAGTATGTGAAAATACTAAATCCTTGGGAAGGTACAGAGGAGAGAAGTTTTGAACATTTGCCAAATGCTTGAGAAGTAGCAATCTCCAAATAAATAAATAAATAGCCATTTCCCAGTGAGTGTCCTCAAGACTTCATTATTCAAATGAATAGGAAGCTGAAGTGCCCCAGAAAGAGAGAACAGGAAATGTTGCACCCATCTTCAGAAAAGGCTAAAAAGACTAAAGAAAAGGCTAAAGATCTGCAGGCTGCTCAGCCTCACTTTAGTACCTGGGAAAAACATGGAGTGAGTCCTCCTGGAACACATTTCTGGGCACAAGAAGGTGAATGGGAAGAGTCAGCATGGGTACATCATGCCTGTGTGACCTTATTGCTTTCTCTGGTAAAAGTGACTGGATTTGTGGATGAGGGGAGACCAGCACGCGTCATTTACCTCACATTTAGCAATGCCTTTGACACCGTCTTGTACAATATTCTTGTGTCCAAACTGGACTGGGTGGGTGGACAACGACATGGTTAAAAAGTGAGTTGGATGGTCAGGCTCAGAGGGTAGTGATTAGTGGGCTGCACTCTACCTGGAGGCTAGCAATAATTGGAATACCACTTGTTGGGTCTTTCCTGGGACCTGTTCTGTTCAGCATCTTTACCAACAACCTGGAGGAGGTGATGGAGGGCACTCTTATCAGTTTGGGGAATAGGGGGAGATAACAGGGTGGATTAACGGGCTGACAGGAACCTTATAAAAATCAAAAAGGACAAATGTAAGGTCCTGAAGCTGGAAAGGAAAAAAAGCCTCTTGCAATGGTACTTTATCCAAAGAGCAAAACCAACCACATCTTGTAGAGGAAGGCAGCCAAACAGACATTGGCTTTGTTTGCCATTGCAGACTGTCCTGTCTTAGCTTACACAAAGATCTGGAGAAGAAGGGCAGTTGTATGGCACAACACAGCATTTTCTCGGTTCTCTATCTACACCTGTTTTTTTAGCTCCCATTCCTGGTCAAAAACAAGTTTAGTAGTGCTCTCCTGTTGCCTGGGAGAGCTGTAGTAGAAACAAATAGTGTTTCTTTTTCTGTTCTATGTCATCTACTATGTCTGCTTCTGCTCTATGTCATTACTGTACCCAGGCAAAGGAGATATATGCTTGTACTCAGCAGAAGACTTAATGCTGATGCAACTTGCTTTGGCTGAGCAGAGACCGTGGAGAAAGTGTTACCTCTGTGCTGTACTTGGCTTTATCCAGCTAGGACAAAGTTTGATCTCAGCCTCATAGCATTTTTCTGTTATACAAGGTTGGATGACTTCTTACCTGAGCAGACCACTCCAGTATCAAAGTAATGAGGGCAGGTAAAAGCACCCCATCCTGTATGTGAGCAGTTCCAGAGAGCGGATTCATCACCACGGCAATCAACTCGATACAACCACGTTGGTCCAGATCCTTCTCCAAAAGTAGCTCGACTAAGGGCCTGAACAGCTGATCCACATTGTAGTTGCTTACAAACAACGTCAGCATCTTTCATGGTCCAGTCACCATCGCACACGGTTCCCCACTGCTCCTCATGTTTTACTTCCACTCTCCCAGAGCAGGGGCCAGTTCCATTTGACAACCTCAATTCATCAGCACCTTTGTATGAAGAGACAGAGCAAGGTTATGGAAAGGACAGTGCCTAATCACAATTAGCTATTGTAGGTGGTTAATGAGTTATTATTACTCTTAATCTACTTTTAAATCAGACTTACTCAGATCACCTTTCTAAATAGTCCAACTTAAGGTTTTTTTGCAGGGAGCGGTGTCTGCATTTACAAGTTTGAGCTAACCGCTCTGCTAAAGTGTAAGTTATTTTTAATGACAGGCGAGCTTTCTCTTCTTCTGACCTATCAGGGCTGGGAAATGCTGAGTAATGTCCTCGCTGCGTGATTCACAGAGGCTTCAACAGAAACTCCTCCTTTCTCTTTGTTGTTCCGCCATGATGATACTCATCTGAAAATGTTCGCTGGGCACCTGTTCCTTCATTCCTGAGTTCAGTATGGTGTGAAGAAGCAATTTCCCTTGTCTGCCTCAACTTCTTCCTCTCAGAAAAATTATTACTTGCAACTCAGTGTCCCAATACTCTTTGTTCTTTCCCTCGTCACTTGCCTTAGCCATGGGGTTCCCTAATCTGAGTTACCCAACGAGACAAGAGAATTACTCATGAAAGGTGGCAAGCTATCTCAGGAGATGCAGCAGCATAAGCAGAAGACAAGTAGGTCTTTATGTTGTTCCTCATGCCCCATCATCTCTTGCGGGAGGGCTGACGCCCAAAGAACCCTTTTTCCCTGCTATACTCCCAGATCTGCCTCTTTCCTTTGGTACAGATACACATTTCCCAGTCCTTTTGCCTATGGACTCACAAAATAACATTACAGTCATCAGAGAGCACTTGATAAAGAGCCTGACAGAAGTGGGAAGATGCACTTGTTGCTTTCTTGCTTTACAATGTTGGACTGCTACTATAGATGCTTCAAATATCATACAGTAGCTTAGCACAGGGACTTAAAGGCTAGAAAATACAGGGAGAACTTTGTTAACATTCAAATGCCAGAATGACGGTGGCACATAGAAGCAGTTCTTAGGAAGCCAAGCTACACAAAGGCCTGCTAGGGCCCCAGAAACACGGGGGAACAGGTCAGAGTCTGCGGCTTACGCAGGCACAGTAAACATTAGAAAAGCTGAAGCGTGGAGCCTAAGATGTAATGATATGTAAAGAAAAAAAAGTGGGCTTGTTCAGGAATTGTATTTTTTATCCCAGTCAGGAATTTTAAGGCCAGAGTTTTGGAAGCTCATTTCATAAAAAAGATTCTTTACTTACAGAAAGGTTCGTATCTGCTTGAGTAAAAAGCATACACAGAATCACAGAACATGTTGAGTCAGTATTCTGAATTGATGTAAACAATGATTTTCTGTAGGTGTTTGTGAAAACAAACATTGAAACAAAAAAGAAAAACCTGAAACCTTCTGCCAAATTCTGTCAAAACCAGTCACAGTTATAATTAACAACAATATGGATGGCATTCGTTTGTTAGGTTATGTGACGGAAAGCTTGTCTCCATGTGCAAAGGAGAACAGAGGAACATGGTAGGAGGGGGAAGCCCTCCTAGGGCTCTCCCCGCAGAGCCATCAGCCCCATTGTCCAGGTGTGAAACCCATCGGATGAATCAACATGAGGGCTTTCTGTGTCACCTTAGAGGCTGAGGGGGGGCTACTGCCCAGAGGGTATGGGACACTCTATGGGATGCAAGAGAAGAGCATCTTGGAATGGTACTTGGCTTATTATGGGATGTTTAGGAGAGGAATCAAAGGAGGGAAAAGGGAGGAATCACAGAATCGCAGAATGGTTGGTGTTGGAAGGGACCTCTGGAGATCATCTCGTCCAACCTCCTGCCAAACAGGTTCGCCTAGAGCGGGCTGCACAGGATGGCGTCCAGGCGGGTTTTGAAGCTCTCCAGAGAAGAGGACTCCGCAACCTCTCTGGTCAGCCTGTGCCAGTGCTTGGCCACCCTCACAGTACAGAAGTTCTTCCTCATGTTCAGCTGGAACTTCCTGAGCTTCAGTTTGTGCCTGTTGCCCCTTAACCGGTCGCGGTAGGCAGGACAGGTGCCCAGAGAGAGCTAAAGGGCCATTATACAGCCATTATCACCTGCGGAGTGCTGGCTTCTGCAGCCATTGTCTTTTGTCTGGCAGTTTCTTCATAATCTGCTAATTTATGGAAACAGTATAGACCAAACCTCCAAGCTCGAAGGTATAAAACATCAGCTTACCCAAAAAGCCTTTGAAGCAGATCCAACAGCAGCTGGACTGCTGAGGCCTTCGTACTTCCTATTGTGATAGAGGGGATGCCTGCACCGTGTTGGAGGAGGAAGGATGAGCACTCTCACCGTCAGCTAGATTACTAATTCTCTTTTTTTTTTTTTTTGGCTCATAGGTGCATGAATTAAGAGTTACAGGTTATAAGTTCTGAAACCTCATGACTTGAATCAGGGAATTCACATGACAGACTAGTCTGGGCAAAGGGGACGTGAGCCTCTGGTGTTGTATTTGTTTGTTGTATTTCTTAATGAGCTCCTAAAATAAAGTTTAATTCACAGAGTACATTGTCCTGTAAATTTGAGAGGCCCAGACTGTGACACCCATCCCACCAGGAGGAGAGTGAGCAAGCGGCTGTGTGGTGTTTAGCTGCCTACCAGTGCTAAACCACAACAGATGCCAGCAACTGGAGCGAATGAAGGTACTGCACGTCAGCGTGTGATTGCTACTGAATATCAAGCTGGACTAGCCTGTGAGTAAGTTAATTGGCCTGGGAGCCAAGTATGTGTGTGTGTCTCTGGGAGTGAGGTAACTGGAGGAGCTGGCTACCAGAGGGACCAGAGGGTCCAGGCCAACTACTAGAGAGATGGTGAGGCCAGGGGGTGAACTCAAAGACCCGTTTGTATGTGTGTCAGTGGATGAGGTAACTACAGAGACTGAGGATCCAGGACCAGACACTGGATGGGCTGAGTGTCTGGAGGAATCCAAATTTTATGTATTTGCCTATTTCCCACCGATAGACTTTTATTCTGATTAGCCAGAGAGGAAAACATAGAATCACAGAAAAATTTGGGTTGGAAGTGAACTTGAAGATCATCCAGTTCCAACCCCTCTGCCATGGGCAGGGACATCTTTCACTAGATCACGTTGCTCAAAGCCAGGTCCAACCTGACCTTGAACACTTCCAAGGATGGGACATCCAAAACTTCTCTGGGCAACCTGTTCCAGTGTTTCACCACCCTCATTGTAGAAAATCTCTTCCTTATATCCAGTCTAAATCTACCTTCTTTCATCTTAAATCCATTGCCCCTTGTCTTGTCACTGCAGGCCGTGGTAAAAACTCTCTCTCTCTCTCTTTCTTATAAGCCCCCTATAAGTATTGAAAGGCCACAAGGAGGTGTCCCCAAAGCCTTCTCTTCTCCA